CTATATGAGACACTAGAAAGCAATTTAAATTGGGTTGACCTTGTATAAAGGAAAATAGAGCTTGTTTCCTGATGCTCAATATCAACAGTGAATAGAATTTCCTAGCTAAGCAGGTTTGCTTGTTGTGAACACTTGAAAATAATTAAATGAACAGCATGTTCATTGTATCTTTGTGTTTCAAATGTGAAGTCTGATGGAATAATGGAGCACACACTGGGTATCTGGAGCCTCAGCGCACGTGTGGTCCTGTCTCTTTTCTCCTTCCTACCTCCCCATACCTAAGATGGATTCTTAGCTGTCTGTCCACCCAGCCCCCTGCCAAACTCTACTCCCTGTCATCCCCTGATTCTGTGGGGTCTGGATGCAGGCACAGGAAGAAGATAGGAAGGTGTGCATGCCAAGTTATGGGACAGGGACCTACGCTGCTGTGATGGCCTGCCTGTACTACCAGGCCCAAGGAAGAACATTAGATAGTGAATAATAAACAGCATGACAGGTTAAAAAAAATCACAGAAAAGAGGACAAAAGCCTTTTTCCAGCTTTTTTTTTTTTTAACAAGAGGCCTCCCCATTTTCATTTGCATTTGTCCACACAAATCATGCAGCCAGTCCTGAGTACTGTTATTACCATCACTTCAAAAAACTGGACAATGAGGTTCAAAGAGGCTCAGTAATTTGTCCAAGGTGACACAGCTGCCAAGTGGCAGCATTCAGAGAATTATATCTCAGGAGTGAGAGAGAACTTTGAGATCATAAAGAACTTTAGCCCAGGAACCAGGAGACTTACATGCAACTTCTGACCACAACTGGGCAAGCTGCCCATTCCACCTCATTTTTCCTAAGTGAAAGCACTCTGTGTAATCTTTGGCAGTACAGGTCTCGGGATTTAGCTTTGCAACTTACATAGGATGTGACTTTTGAGTTACAAGAAAATCATCATTCACCCCACTTCCCCAGAGAGCTGCCATGAGTATTCAGCAGATGACAATCACTCAACCTAATGATACCTGAAGTCATATAAAGCACTTTCATGCCATTCCCTCCCCCAGACAACACTGAGCAGAAAGGAGTATTATTTTCCTCATCCCATGGACAGGAATGCTAAAGCATCAGAACTGTAAAGTGACTACCCCCAGCTCCTACTGCTTTTCAAGCAAGTTTTGAATAGGTTAACAGGGCTCCCCAGGCACAGTCTCATAATATGAACATCCACAAAAGAAGGGTCACCACTTTGGGCAGTCCTGATGTGGGAAGACAGAATGGACCTCTCAGGACAGGAGCCCCAGATCTGAGGGAATCGGCTCCATCCCAGATCTTGAGGGTCCCAGGTCTGAAGGAGGAGCCCAGAGAGGCACCCAGGAGCTCCTGAGAGAAAAGAAATACCAGGTCAGCAGCATTCACAGAGTGACTCAGATCCTGGAGGATACTTACCCAACATAGGTGGGGCATGATCTACAGAGCATAGACAAACAGACAGAAGGATTGAGGGACAGGTCACAGCATAAGCATCATCCTCTCCACACATGACCAGTTCACTGGCCAGTCCTGGGGAAGGTTTCTGTTGTGAGTTATGCCATTAACATAGACCCAGCATGTTTGTGTCTTTCCACAATGTCAGAATTTATTGAATAACCATAAATTCATAGCTACACCACTTTCAGGAGCGGAAGTTAACTGAATATTAGGGTGATCACCTGATAGACATAAGTCAGGCAATCACAGGTTCTTTTATTCCAATCTTAACTACTAATATTTATAATACTCAAGTCACATAGGGGGATATCTTACAGAAAGGCTAAGAAAGGGTTAAGGCAGCCTCAGAGGTTCAGGAGGCTAAACTAAGGGCAAAGTCTGAGCAGATACAATGCAAAGAATCACTGTAAGTGATCAGATCAAGATTACTTATTCTAAGTGAAGAGCTGTCAAAGTGCAGGAACTTATTCTAGGCCAGGGGTCAGAGGGCAGTTTCAGAGTGTCAGCTTGAGATATCCGTTTGGAGTGAGCTGTGCATGGTCTTCACAGGCAGCAGAAACCAGACTGTGCTGAAGCCCCAGGATAAGAACTGGAGGTTCGTCGTTATGGCGATTTTCCTGGGCAAGGCTCTTGACAAATGACCAAATGACAGGGTTAGTGTGCCACTGTGTCCCATCTTGGGTGCTCCTCCTTTTATAGGCCTCAAGTGGGGGAAGTTGCTTCATTTGGTACTCAAGTATTTTAATAAGCTCATGGGCCTGTTTTTTTCTGATATGAGTTTGATACATCTATGCATCCATGTGTTTCTGATTAATTCAGTAAGTTCACAGGTGATTATTTTTAATACCACAATGAATTTATCAGTTTGTGCTTTATGGTTGTGCTAGACAGATAGTAGTTGTTTACTCATACAAACAAGATGTAGACTCATTCTACCTCAGCACTTAACCTCAAAATGGAGTAAGCTGGGGGACAGGGTTATGGCTCAGTGGTAGAGTGCTTGCCTAGCATGCGTGAGGCATTGGGTTAGATTCCCCACACCACATAAAAATAAAAATCAAATAAATTAAATAAAATAAAGGTATAAAAAATGGAGTAAGTCAGGGCAAACGACTGCTTTTTAAAATGGAGTAACTCTGGGTTAGGCACAATCTGAAAACTACTGTTCTATACATCATGAAGTAACTCAGAGCAGGGCACAGCCTGCTCTGCATAGCCTCCACCTACAGAGAGGGTGAGATCTGGGTGACCAGAAGTCATTCAGCCTAGTGGTATTTCCTTTGTCCTACCCCATACCCCTGGGTTCCTCAGTCCCCAGTTTCCATGGGAAGAACAAAGCATTTACAACACCGGACCCTTCCTCCTGACAACCACCTCTCTTGCCTGGGGCTTCAGATGACCACAAGATGTGACTGTGAAATGGTTCCTGAAATCACCTGTCCATTTCCAGTCTTTCAAAGAAGCACAATACAGAGCAGTCCAATAAACTTTCTGAGATGATGGAATTATAAGATCTATATTTCACTTTAAATAAGTCAAATGTACATTTAAATTGTCAAATGTGGCTAATGGCTACTGTACTTGTACAGCACAGCTTTACAAACAGAGACAATAAAAATGGAACAAATGCACCATGATTTTGGGCTTCAAAAGCACTGTCACAATCACCTTCTCCTTGTCTGTCCTGCAAAAGAAGTATTTATCCCCATTTTACAGAGGAGGAAAATGGAGCTCAGGAAAGTTAAATGGCTTCCATATGAACAGAGTTAGTTTAAAATGGGATTTAATCTCAGATCTCTGGATTCCAAAATTCTGCCCATACTTCTATGCAACACTTAACGCAGTTATGCAGTCATGACATATTTATGGATCATTATTATTAGGTGTATACCTCTGAGCTAAACGCTTAAAGACAAATCAGGCAGACTTTGGGTGGAAATCTCTGGACAAAGGCAGTATAATTGCCACAAAAGGAATAAGGGTATAAAAATTATTTTGTCTTTCAGATAGCTCAAAGCACTTCATTTTAAGGGTCATTGTGCCTCATGACTCTCCAATTTATATTTCAGGTCCCAACTCTGCCCAGAATTCCCAGTGGATATATCAATATCTAATTGACAAGCTTCTCAAGCTTGTCCCATACTCCCCGCCGCCCCACCTCACCTCAGTAAATGGAAATGCCCTTCTTCCAGATGTTCCACCTCAAGTTTCTAGAGTCACCCATGGGTCATTTTTTTTATGCCTTTCATCTAATCCACCAGCAAATACTGTTGGCTCTGTCTTGAAAAAGCATCCAGAATGCTCACCATCTCCACTGCTGCCACCCTCACCTATCATCATCATCTCTAACTAGGCTGAAGCAAACTGGTCTCTTGAGTCCCTCACTCTTCCTGATCTTTTTTTCCACACAGTAACTAAAGTGATCTTTTCTTTTAAAACTAAAAAGTCAAAATATGTCTCCTGTCAGTTTAAAGCTCCCAATGGTTTCCCAAAGTCCTTTGGTAAGGTCCTAGGGAGTTTAGGAATAGTCAAAAATGCCTCTCCAACCTCATTTCCTACCACTCTCTTTGCTTTCCAGGTCCAGCCATACCAAGTCTTCCTGCTCACTCTTTCCTACGGCTGTTGCCCAGTTCACTCTCTCCCTTTTTCAGGACTTCTGACCAAAGGTTTCCTCACGGCAGAGGCATTCCCCATTACTTTATCATGTTTCCATTTTGTTCATAACATTCATCACCTCCTGACATGAATATGTTTGCTGGTTGTTGATCTTCTCCCACTAGAGTGTGGGCTGCTAGGATAAACATGAAATATACAAGCTGTCCAGTTGGATTTGAATTTCAGATAAGCAATGCATCATTTTTCAGTCCCAGATGTTGATTATAGCAAAAAAAATCCTGTTTATCTGAAATTTAAACTTTACTGGGTGTCCCGTATAATATTACTTGCTAATTCTGGCAACCCTGTTCAGGAAAACAAGGACATTGGTTATTTTGCTCATTGCTGTATCCCCAGCATTAGAATAGCTCTTGAAATGTCGTCCTCAATAAACACTGAATGAATGAATGTGTTCAACCAGATGATTAATCTGAAACACGCCCAAACTTTTAATGAACGGCTTGCGAGTCAGAGGGGTGGATCCTGCAGACTAGGTTAGTCCGGCTGGCTACCGACGGCCTGCACAGCTGACAAACTTTCCAAGCAGGTCTGGCAGCCGGGTGCTCAGCCTATTCCGCCACCACTCCTCGGCAAACAAAACTCCACCCCGCCTCAAAGGAGCTGCGGATCTCCAGCGGCCCTCCTGGGGGCGGGGCCTCCCTAACCTGCAGGCCCGACCCAACCCTCGCCTAGAGCCTGCACCCCTCTAAAGCCCCGCCTCCCTGCCACCATTCGCACCCACTTGCGTGACGTCACCCAGCGGGCAACCAATGGGGCCCCTGCTTACTGGCAGGCGGTGCCGGGGGCCACTGCCAAAGGGGAAGTGAGCTGAGGCTGGAGCGATGGCCCGGGTTTGGTGCCCGCGGCCGCCGCCGCCGTTGCCACCAGCGCGTCGGGAGCAGCCGCGGCCGGAGCCGGAACGGGGGCCGAAGTCGCGGCTGGAGTGGGAGCGGCGTGTGTGAGTAGCTGAAGTCGTCCGTGTCGCAACACCTCAAACTCAGCCGGAGCGCTTCAGGTGGGGGGAGCGACGGTCGCCCCCTGAGTACCGCCCCCCGCCCCCCGGCCCAGACAGCAGGGCTGGGGTCTCCCAGGCACCGGACTAGCTGCTGTCGCGCCAGGCTCTCCGACCCGGACTCCCTTCAAACTCAGGACGGAGGCCAGAGAACGGTGATCATCCCAAACCCCCTCCGCCTTCCCGGCCGGAGCGTTTTTCTCGTCGCCCGGGCAGAGTTCCGGGTTGTAGTGCGGCGGAGCAAACCCCCTCCTGCCGCCACCTCTCCAACCAGCTAGTTCCCACTGTCTTGCTCTGCATCGGCTCTTCTCCACCCTTTTCAAGAACAAGTGCTGTCCCAGACGTTCAAAGTATCTATTCTGGGTGTCCTTCCCCATCTCTTGGAGCACTCTTAGAAATATTGCCTATTTACCAGGGCTGAGAATCTCTCATTCTTGACGTAGCTTTTCTCCCCTTTGGGAGATAAAGGTTGCCCCCTTTCCACTCTCTTACCCGACAGACACTTCATGACCCGGGCTTTAGCCATTTGGATCATCAGCGCCTCGGCCATCTCTATGTGACTTCCCCACCCGTTTGAGTTCCAGTGTCCTCTGGGCTCCATTCTCCAGCCCCCAGCGGATCTGGTCAGTCCCGCCCCTGGGTGGGAGTGACCAGGGGGCTCTGGCCCAGGATTTCCCACCCTGGAAGGTAGTAGCTCCAAAGCAACAAGAGAACTGGGCGTTGGGTACGAACCTGGCAGCTCAGGAGTGGGTGCTCCACCCACCCCACACAAGAAGATGAAAAAGCGCAGAGAGCTTAATGCATTGATCGGTTTGTCTGGGGACAGCCGGAGAAAGAAGCCCAAGAAAGGCTCAAGCAGCCACCGTCTGCTTCGCACTGAGCCTCCTGACTCAGACTCTGATTCCAGCTCAGAGGAGGAAGAGGAATTCGGTGTTGTTGGAAATCGCTCTCGCTTTGTCAAGTGAGTAAATGCAGTGATCAGGGCTGGGAGGGTGAGAGCCATCTCCTTGCACTACCAATGGGACAAATCAGTGGGAAGAAGAAGGAAGTTTATAAGAAGAAAAAAGGTAAACCTTAGAAGGCAAAGAGGGAGAAAAGATGTTCAGATCCTGAATAAAGGATAAGTTGGAGGTCAGTCTTTAGGTATTGAAAGAAGAGCCCCACCTGTAGGGTGAAGGTTGTGGACGTGGGGAATGTACCAAGATCCCTGGGAGATTTAAAGAGGCTAAGAATAGAGGGGCAGAGAAACTTCTGGGATTAGGCCTTTAAAAAAGAATGTAGGAGAGTCCAGACTATCTTCAAACTGCTAATTATTTTTTGTACTCATATATGAGTCTAAATCTTGGTGGGAGAATATGGTGAGGGATGTATTATAGAAAATATGAGACTTAAGAGAAGATGGAGGGTGAAGGACAAAAAGGCAACTTTTCCCCAAACTATTTTTAGTTGGCGCAGTCATTGAACAAGTAGTGAGCTTTGAGCATGTTGGAAATTGGAGCTGAACCTGGTAAAGGGACCCTGTTAGAAGACACACTAAAAGAAAAGCGAATTTTTCTGAGGATTTGAAAGCAAGAGCTAGGCAGAAAGTTGGAGTGCCAGAAGAGATTGGGTCCTTTGTGTTTTTATTTAGAATGTCTACCCTTTTTTGTTGTTGTTGTTTTGTTAAAGAAGAGTATGGTTTCTAGTGACTTTTTCAGATTAGGTACTTAAACTTGTGTTTGGGGTATGAAGGTTTAATGATGGGTTAATTCTAGAATAGTTACCCTACTGGGTTAGTTTAGACCTTGAGGTCTGGATGAGTTTGGTATGAAATCTAGCTTGTTTGTTTCCTTCCTTCTGAGCCAATAAACTAGAGTGCACCAGGTGTCCACTTAACCCTACAGATCCTATTTCTTTCATTCCATTTGCAGTAAAACTTGTTCAAAAGTTTGTGAAGTTTCTATACACTGAAACAAGGTCCCCTGGAGTGAGCAAACTTATATTTGAAAGTGAAAAATAGGTACATTACAGTGCAGTGATAGTTGAAGAGAACCACTGGTTTTATACTTTTCTAATTAAGCTTTTCTCCAAAGACCTCTTGCCTGAATTGATGTTGATGGCATTATTCTTATGATAGGGGAGACTACTTAAGATGCTGCAAGATCTGTTATCCTCTCTGTGCTTTTGTCATCCTCGCGGCCTGTGTCGTGGCCTGTGTTGGCTTGGTGTGGATGCAAGTTGCTCTGAAGGAGGATCTGGATATTCTCAAGGAAAGATTTAGAACAAGTAAGTGGTCACCCTTTTCCGAGTATAATCTGAAACTCTTTTCCAGGTTCAAGGACAAATTGGACCATGCTGAGTTTTGCCCATTCTGATAAAGCAATTGTACATTCTTTTCAGCATGTTTATACTCTTTTCCAGCTGTCAACTTGAATGTTACAACAGTTGTTTTTTGGTTTTGGAGATAGGTACTAGAAATTGAACCCAGGGACTCTTTACCACTGAGCTACATTCCCCATCCTTTTTTATTTTTTATTTTGAAATGGGGTCTTGTTAAGTTGCTAAGACTAGCCTCAAATTTATAATTCTCCTGTCTTAATCTCCCAGTTTGTTGGGATTATAGGGGAGTGCCACTGCTCCTGACCAATTATCTCTTTTTAAACTGATAAACAAAAGACAGTGCTTATCCACCAGTATTTTAGATGCTACTTGTCCACCAGGACATTGCAGTTGACTCTTAGAGTACAGAAAGGAAGAGCAGCCTTGAGCCTTGGTTAACCTCCATGTATGACCTGGACGCCACTAAGTGAAGTGGCGATAGAAGGCTCATTCCTTCTATCTTACAGGAACAGTTGAGAAGGAGGGTAGGTGTGTCTATCAAATTATTTTCTCTTATGAAAAAACATGTAGAAACATAGGAATAAGCAACTACAATAACCAACATTTATGGAATGCCTACTATATGCCATGTCACAAATCATTTTATGATTTTTATGCTCTTAAAATCAAAGAGGCTTAGAAAGATTAAGTAACTTGTTCAGTGATTACGTGTGGCAGACCTGACATTTGTACCAGGTCCTCTTGCCCCTTGCTGCCCAGGTTCATGTGTATAACCACTAGTATATTGAATCACTGTTGCCAATGCTTGTGTAAGTCTATACACATTTCTCCAAATAACCATAGATTTCTTTGATATTAACTTGGGCCAGTAATCTAAGAGAAGTTTAGTAGAAATACCAGATGAGCTGGTTTTCTGCATATTTATCAGCTTTCAAGCATAGAGCAAAAAAAACCCCAGATTTCCCTCTTTTCCTTATCAATGCTTATTTGCTTGTTTGTGGCATTATGTGTTTTAAGGAAGACTTTTTTTAAAGATATAATTTTAAAATTTTAGGAAACCCCTGATTCTTTGAATTAAATTATATATTCATGAAGAGCTTTCAATAACCGAAAGAGTACCTACCTTGAACAATATACAGCTGGGAGAAGTATCTGTCTCATGAAAGAGTGTCAAGGTTAAAGAGACTTTTCAAGATACAAAGCACTATATATTCTAATTGTGAAGTTGTATTTTACACATTCAAATTATTTTTTCTGACAGATTTGTTTGCATGGTAGCTTCCACCACATTTAACCTAAATATCTGGTTGGCAACACTGAAATTTTTGGTTCTAGATTTCATGGGTTAATTTTCTAAACTAAGGAATTAGTTTCAACTTAATCACAAATACATAACCTTGATAGCATTATCACACGGGGAAACTGATCACAGTCTTTCTCAAGGTCACGAAGAAAGCTGGCTTCAGAACTGGAATTAGAGTTCTTACTCCTATTTTAAGCCTGGGAGATCACAACATTTGACCTTTTCTTCACCCCAGCTTCTTCTTGCTGCCTGCAGTTTTCAGGTTCTGAACCTGACCTAAGGATAGCTAACCTTTAGTGTGATAGTCATGTCTCTAGTGATATTGCTTTGGGGAAAAAATTATGAAATGCTCACTTTGGTTTTCTTCAGATTCAGGGATTGCATTGGGTAAACCATAATTTTCTGCCAGAATCATCCTGACTTGTATGATTTATCAGCTGGTTAAATAATATAAGAAAGAATGAGAGTCAAGCTCTGTTTTTTCTCTGGCTTACTGGTTGTCCTTGCAGTATTGCAGAATGTTTCTAAGGCCAGTGTATTCTTCATATGTAAGTAGTAATTATAAATTGAAAACAAGGTTCTCAGAAACAGTGTTTAACCTTAAGTAACCACTGACCACTCCTGTCTGTACAATCATCTCTCCATAATTAGTTGGACTTCATAGGCTTGTGCCACAGCTTGTTTTGATCACACATAGCAATTATATATTTATACATTTCAATACATTACTCAGTGCTGCCCTCTAGACATTCCTTTCTCTAAATGCTCTATGTCTCTGTTTATAAGATACCCAGGTAATTTGTACCTTAGCTGAGCTTTTCAAGGAATTTCTTAGTTTGGAGAATGTAGGACATGTGGTAGGCCTGACAGTAAATTAGTTAACAAATATTTAGTGAGCACTTGTTAATACCAATCTCTGGAAAGAGTGTATTTAGGAGCTGCCAAGGATTATGCCCTGGACCATGGAGCTGGCTTTCTCACACTGAGCAACATTCCCCTGGGATCCTGACTACATTTGTCAGCCAGCTAAATGAAGTAGGTTTGGATTTAGCAATCCACCTCTTTTGATGTCTTTGATTTGCTACAACAGAAATGCCATTACCTCAATATCTGAAAGCAGGACTTCTGAAAGATGATAGAGAAGAGATGGAGCCTGGGGCATTCAGTCCATAGGCTAGACTATTGTGGACTGCTTGTCCAAGAGTTTTTTTGTGAAAACCAATTATCTTGACTAAATGGGGTCACTCTTATGAAGCTTAAATAATCTTTCTTTGAATTATGCTTCTACTTTAAATATGTTTCAATAAGTTAACTTACTTTTTAGTTTTCAAGGACATGGTGGAATTCACTGACTCAAATAAGACCACCATCTTATCAAGATTTAATACTTTTTTGAGAAATTCAGAGCCCCTCTTTCTTTATTTCAGTAAATTTTCCAAGGAGCTTGTGAGGCTAAAATATCTGAAATAGCAAAACAGATAGGCTTGGCATTTTCCTTTGTGATCAAGGAATAACTTGATCCTTGAGTTTAAAGTACTAGCTGGCCTTAAAACTCTTGGCTCAGTGTCCTTTTTCCAGAAGCAGGTACTTTGAAAGATCTCCACAGTTATTCTAAGAAAAATTCTGTTCCAAGTTATCCTCCTTTGTCACTAAAGTGTTAAACATTAGGAAAAGAATTTGGAAGAGAAGGATGGTATTAATATATCAGTCATCTCCTTTTCTGGCTATACAGGCAAAGTAGTGAATTGATATTTAATATATAGAACTTAAAAATATCTTGTGCTAATGAGGGTATTAGGATGTGTGTGAGACCTCTGGAGTATACTCAAAAGAGTACTGACCCTCAGAAAAGAAAATTTGAATCCTGGCTCTAAAATTTAAACAAGTCACTTATTCCTTTTGAGCCTTCATTTTCTCATAAAAATGTATTTGTACCCCCAAGCACTTTGGGCATTCCTCTAACGTTGGTCACACTATATAGTAATCAATGCCTCACTTTTCCTCTAGACTAAGAATTTAGGGTCTTCTGTATACAGTGGTGCCAAATGCAAGACTGGCACATGGTAGAGGTTCAATAATAATTTGTTTAATAATGGTTACATAAATTTTATTGCAAGTTGTAAAGACATTGTATAAATAAATATTGCTATTAGCATATGTTCTGCTCCTAAGGTACAGTGCATAAATTTCCATCTCCTAATCTTTTTTTTTTTTTTTTTTTTTTGGTGGTGGTGCTGGGGATTGAACCCAGGGCCTTGTGAATGCGAGGCAAGCACTCTGCCAACTGAGCTGTATCCCCAACCCCCATCTCCTAATCTTATATATTAAAAAATCAACGAGGTAATTCTTTTGAGAATTAACATATTAAATTTTAAACAAGTTGCTTTCCATATTGAAAGAACATGAATTAGTAATTGTAAGTTATTTGCTACACTTCCTCCCATTTATGTAATAAAAGTATGTCTGCTTAGCTTGTATCTCCTAAAAAGCCTAAATTATATAATGATTACAATCCCCTTTTAATTCATACAGTCCTCAAGATATAGTATTTTCAGGACTTACCATTTTTATGTATTCATTAGTTAATAATTGTAACCTAGGTTACTGTGTTTGTCTTATTTTTCTCTTCCACTTCTAATTCCTACTTAATGCATACTGACTTCAGAAAAGAAAGAAAACTTTCCTTCTTTGGGATTTTCAACCACCTGAATATGAACATTCATGGATGGGTTTTCTTTACAATCTTACTGAAAATGTGTAAGAAATTCAGTAACATGCTTTGAGCTTCTTTAGTTTAGACTAAATGGGAAAATATTTTTATTATATGAGATGGGTATATTCCTGCAACCCATGTGTAAATCAAATGCCACATTAAAGTACTTAAGGAAGTCTATTACTTGAAATGAAATCCTTCAGCAAATATTTTTGAAAGATAAATAAAAATATCTAATTTCATTTTTCTAAATTTTCATATATTGGGCATGTATGAAATACCACCTCAGTTTTAGGGGGGAAGTTTTTGTTGCTAAGCATTTTGAGGAGCTTTCTTTCTTGAAATTTTCTTTGTTAGATTGAAGAGGTAGACACAGTGGAGTGCCTGAAATGTACCAGGTATAATTTTTTTAAAGAGTTGACTCTTTTTTCCTTTTAATGCCTTTATTTCTATTTATTTTTATATGGTGCTGAGGATCAAACCCAATGCCTCACATATGCTAGGCAAGCACTCTACACTGAGCCACAACCGAGCCTGTGCCAGGTATATTCTACACAGATATGAATATGACCCAATCTTGGAGTTTACATTTTAGTAAATTGTTTTTTATTGGTCCTTTGTATCAGTTTTTGGTTTAAAAGAAAGTAAGTAATAACTAATCATGCGGTCCATGACCTAAAAAAAAAAAAAGTAGGTTTTATTCTGAAGGACCAGCCATTATCAATATTTTATTTTCCATTAGAAGGAAAAATGCTTTTTAAAGAAGAGAAAGCACTCTCTCAGGACTCTGCCTTCATGCTGGTAAATCTCTCAACCATTCAGGAGATATTGTTTCCTAAAGAAAAGGCCAAATATCACCCTGTACTTCACCTAGCATGATCCTTTATCTTCTACTTCATCTGGAGCTTTTGGGTTGAAATCGGATTTTAGAAAACACTTTGCTATTTATGAAAAATATTAAAAACCTCAGTCCTCGTAACAGTTTCGAAAAGTGATAAAACCCCTTGCATTTAAAACTATAACTTGTATGATGTCACTTGAGCATTAATGGAGCAAGCTTTATAAATCTTCATTGATTAATTGAAAAACTCCTTATTTGAGCTGGTCAGTACTAAGCATTTATGTATCTCTTCTTGTGTGCTTGGCCAACTGTGTTAAAAACTTTATATCTATTCTCTTATTTAATTCTAACAATCCTGGGAAGTACATCTTATCACTACTGTATTACAAATGAGGAAACTGAGTTCAAAGAATATGAATAATTTGCTCAAAATCAAAATGTTACAGAGTTTCATATCTAACTCCTCTCCATGAATTTTTTATTTTTTAGCTACCTGACTTAAAAAAACTGCAATGCCAGTAGTAAAATAGCTCTAGTTGGTCTAGTTGAAATGAGGGCTTAGTGTTAAATATATGCATTTAGTATATAAAATAACAGTGGAGTTGGTAATATGAATTTGATCATTATCATCCCAGAGTTAACTTTTATTAATTTATCTTCTTTCCAACTGTGTGATTATTTTTTCATCTTGGAATCATGAGGGAAGCTTATTTCTATTTATGATTTTTTTTTTTTCCTTTTAGTGGAATCTAATCAGAAAAGCTCATTCCAGGAAATACCCAAACTTAATGAAGAACTACTCAGTGAACAGAAACAACTTGAGAAGATTGAGTCTGGAGAGCTGGGCTTGAATGATGTCTGGCTCAACATCACAGAAATGAATAAGCAGGTAGCAGTGATTTTATTTCTGTATTAGCTATGAGGGTAGTGCATTTACTTCAGGTTGCTAATTTTTTAAATTGAGGTTTTTGCATACTATGATCCCAATACATTTAAAATATATATTAGTTATGCATTTGCCAAATATTTAAAATTTTAACCCTTCTTTAAATAAACAAAGTTCCTCCAAGTTAGAGCAGTGTAGAGGGAGTTGGAAATTGTTGAGTTGGTGTTTCCTATGAGGCAGTATAGGTATCATAAAAAAGGAGTGTCATCCAACCCCCAAGAAAAATGGATAACCTGTTTTTATTAGATTGTGAGAGCTTTGTTTTATTTAATAGAGTTAATAAACTTACAGTTGCAGCCTTGGGATGTAGCGCTGTATACTATGCTAAACCAAATCTGGAAATCATACCTAGTGGTGGTTATTCTAGAGTAGCTTAGGAGCAGGTGGTAAAGTAAGCTAAATACTTTGGCCAGGCAAAGAAGCCTAGAATATAAACTTTTCCAGTCCCTAAGTTGGCTAGAGTTCAGTAGGCCTTAATTCCTAAAGAGTGAATGTGACAGGGCTGGGGTTGTGGCTCAGCGGTGCAGCACTTGCCTAGCGTGTGTGAGGCCTTGGGTTTGATCCTCAGCACCACATAAATTAATTAATTAATTAATTAAAGAATGTTGACTATGCATCTCATATATATAAGGAGCTATTGTTGTCATTGGGTCTTGTAGCCTGTGTCTGCAGTTTATTCAGTTTATTTGGGAAAGATGTCATCATTGAAAAGAAAACTCAAGTAACAAATGAATTAAAATAAAAATGAGCAGTTTGGCTAGAGAATACATCAGGTGAAAGCAGACTACACTGAAACTCTGAGAGATAATTAGCATCTCTCCTGAGGTAATCAAATTCCAGTATTTCCCATCTCCTTATAAATCATGGAGTTAACTATTCTGAGTTAAAGATGAGATTGTTTAGCATGAATAGGCAAAATGCCTAAAAATAGGTGTGTCATGTTTGTGGAACTAAGAGGATATTCTTTTCTTCAGAGGGGAGTCACAAAGTTCAGAATGAGCCAAACAGTGGGAGTTTGCTGTGGGAGAGAGCACTGTGCTAGAGGAAGTACTTGTGATTATTTCTGAAGCTACACCTTTCAACAGTTGTTTGTGAGCTGAGTAGTTCAGTACTTAGGACCAAAGATCAATGACCTGGGCACCACATGGCTTCCAAACTTTTGCCTGGAACCCACAGTAAGGAATGTTTTATATAATGACTCAGTAATCACATTCAGACATATGTGTTGTAGTTTGAATGTGTCCCCCAGTAGTTCATGCATTGAAATTTAATCCCCAGATTAATGCTAATGGTATATTAATTGAAACTTAATCTGCCAATGCTAATGGTATATAGAGGTAGACTTTTTTGGAGGTAATTAGAATTAAATGAGGTCATAAAAAATAGGACCTCCAATGATGGTATAATAAGAATGATGGCACACTGTTGTGTCTCATCACGTTCATTTGATGTTCTCTATTATATTACCATGCAGCAAGAAGGCCCTCCCAGATGCTGGTGCCATGCTCTTGGGCTTTCCAGCCTCCAGAACCATGAGCTAAATATAAATAAACCCCTATTCTTTATAAATTACCCAGTCTCTTGTGTTCAGTTATAGCAACAGAAAATGGTCTAAAATGCTATATGTAACTGAGATAAGTTTCTGAAAACAGTGACACACCCTAAATATGTATGATGCCTTATGGCTTGTTATTTCCTATTCAATTCAATTTTGGAGTTTTTAAAAATTATTTATGAAATAATTGATAGGCTATAGTACCTAGTACTGACTAGTTGCCATTTATGCTTGAACTCCGTAACAAAATAGGGACAAGCAGGTATTCACTCCTTTCATGCAAAAAGAATAGGATAAACTGTGGCCTTGCTTACATTCACACAGAAAATGAGCAATTTGGGCAGAGATTATATCAGGTGAAAGTAGACTACACTGAAATTCTTTGAGATAATTAGTCTCTTCTGAGGCAATCTGAGGATTCCAGTAGCTAGTCATGGAGTTAACTATTCTGAGATGAGGATGAGATTGTTTAACAAGAAGAGGCAACATCAGCTATTTCCCATCTCCTTATAAATGGCATTGTATGAAGAATCAAAGGGAAATTGGTTCTTAGTATGAGAAGACAGATTTTTTTTTCACATGTTTGGGATATATTTTGATTTCCAAATTCTCTTTAACCAGAAATCTGGACACAAAAGAATCACTTTTATTCCTGGCCTGGCCATTATTTTTAATGCAAAAAGTATCTGGGAAAAGGGCTGGGGCTGTTGTTCACAGTGATAAAGTGCCCACCTCCCACGTGTGAGGCACTGGGTTCAATCCTCAGCACAACATAAAAATAAATAAAGATATTAAAAAAAAAAAGTACCTGGGAAGACAGGTATATCGAGAAGTTTACTTCAGTCCTTGGGTTTTATATATGAAACTGGGAAGATTGAATTGCAACCTTTTCCATTTTAGCTTCAATACACCTTCAGAGATGCTAGGAGTGACTAATGAAGTCAGCCTAACACAGCAATTCTTTACTGGCTTGGGCCCAAACAGTGAATGGATGGTGGTGAAGCAGAGTTTCATGTTGTTTCCAAAGGGAGCGCAGCACTCTTGAGTGTTTTTCTAATGGCATCTCTAATGGCATTTGTCCTAAACCAAAATAGGTATAAAAATAAAATTAATATTTAACTATGTTTCTATATCTAAAGGTAACTGTCCATTAAGATGCTTTTAGTGGCATTTTTAAAAGTAATTCAAAGTGACTTAAACAACAAAAAAATGTATTTCATCACTTAACAAAGCACTGTCCTTACCACAATGTAAGTTGAAGTTAATGCAGTTTTTAAAACAAAAGCTATCAGTTTGGAAAGCATAAAATCGTATTTTCCCTGGAAAATTCTTTAAACTAGTAGTTGAAATGTATTCATAAAAACCTCTAAATTTATATCTATTTCTTCTTGACCATTATAGGGAATCTTCTCCCTTTTCTTTGAAGATTATTAATGCCACAAATGTTTACTAAGCTGCTTTTATGAAACTAAGTCTTGGATTCTGTTTTAGTCCATTCAGGTTACTATAGCAAAATACCTTAAACTAGATAACTTACAAACAACAGCAATTTATTGTTCACAGTTCTAGAGGCTTGGATGTACAGAGTCAAGGCACTAGCAGGCTTGATGTCTAGTGAACATTCATTTCTCTGTTTCATACATCCTGCCTTCTTACTATGTCTTCCCATGTCAGAAGGGGCAAACAAGCTACCTTGGATCTTCTGTGAAGACACTAATTTCATTCATGAGAGTGGAGCCCATATCATGTCTCAGAGGCTCCACCAATTAATGCCACCACATTAGGGATTAAGTATCACCATATAAGTTTTAGGGTGACACAAAATTCATAGCATAATAGATTTAAAACCAAAAAGATATAATTTCTTTCCTTAAGGGTCTTACCAAAAAAGTGGAAGGTTTTTTTTTGTTTGTTTTGTTTTTGTTGTTGTTGTTGTTTTGGTACCGGGGATTGAACTCAGGGGTACTCAAGCACTGAGCCACATCCCCAGCTTTATTTATTTATTTATTTATTTATTTTATTAGAGACAGGGTCTCACTAAGTTACTTAGCACCTCGCTATTGCTGAGGCTTTAAACTCAAGAATCTCCTGTCTGAGCCTCCAGAGCCGCTGGGATTACAGGCATGGATGACTGCGCCCAGCTGAGGTTTTTTTTTTTTTAAGGTATAAATAGTTGTAAACAGCCTAATAAACAATAAGAAACAGGTTCAAATGACTACTGTGAGTACATATTTAAGTATATATTCAACCAAGGCTGGGGTCAGTTGAGATTTCCCAAAGATGTTGAGCTGAGTCCTGAAGGACAAATAGGAGTTGGCCAGGTAAATTTTTGAGAAAGAGAAGAGGGTACTTAGCTTAAAGCATTAGTATAGCCTGTCCTCCTAATTTGTAAATTCCATATTTGCAAATTCACATGCTCAGTAAAATTTATTTGTAACTCCAAAGTCTATATTTGGGAGGCTTTTGTAGTCATTCACTCACTTGTTCACAGAAGTAAAAATTTGAGTCACTCAGTACACATTTACAGCTGAGGTTGAACAATGCAACACACTGCTTTCTTGTTTCAGGTCTTATACTATAAACAAGTGTCTTTTTTATAGTATATTTAATGCCACATTTTTCCTATGTTTATACTTTTTGTTGGTGATTTTACTGTTTCAATGTCGCCAAGGCCTAGAGATAAAGTGCTATGGTGTTCTTAAATGCAAGGAGACGGTGGTATGCCTTATGAAGTAAATATATATATATATATACACTTGCCTCCTTCAAGCATGACTTGAAGTAGTGCTGTTAGTGAGTGAACAATATGCATTAAATAATATTTTTAAACAAAAACATGCATAAAACAAAATTATGTATTAATTGATCAGTTGACAAAATTGTGATTGAAAAAAAGGTCTGGTAGGAACGTAACCCTGCATTTCCCCTAGGAACAGCAGTTTAGTATTCACTAGTTCAATATTTGCTGCAACTTTTCTAGAAGATAACTACCACTACCAATGAAAATGAACTTTATGTGCAAGAGAATAGATGAATAGAAACACAATGTGTTTAGGGAATTTTAGTCATTCATTATAGCTCTAACATAATAGAAAGAGTCCAGAGATCAAATCCCTTAACAAGAACCATTAACAAAAAGAACCTTGAGTGCCCTTCTGTAGTACTCCCTATATCTTTAAGCACTTGGTCCAAATAACGTATGTGATGGTTATTTGCATGTGTATCTAATTGCACTAGAAGGTTATATAATGTATTCTGAACCTTAATCATGATGATGAAAGTGATGATGATGATAGTGGTGGTAGGTTACCAAGTAATGATAATTGCCATTATTGAGTATTCTCTTTGTGTAGGCCACTATTAGATGCACTGCATCTGTGATCGTCTT